GATCAGAAGTCACATAAACTGACTACCAACACCTCAACTACAGAGGGTCCTATTTTCAATTAAGAAAAACCTATATTGCCAGAAGACAAAATTATGAATAAAGATGCTTAATATTTTATTAACACAGCAAAGAATCATAATTTCTTATAAACTCTAACTCTGAGCCTGCATTCTATACGAATAACTAACACTGCCAAAACCATAAGAAACAAACAACATAATGCATTAAGTCACCAAACATACATGCCATCGAAAAAACAGGAGGAGAAAAAAAAAAAAGTAAATCTTGCTGTAACTTAGATTTCTCGTCTCTTTCCTTTCAAAATTGAAACCGAAGCGATAATTGGTCATTTGATTATGATGATATTGATTGAATGCCATTAACTCCCATGGTTCACCCTAATTTATGGAAACCAAGGAGTGGCTCCGAGCTGATGAACAATGACCTTCCCAGCACCAACCCTGGAGAAGAGGCTATGTCGTACTTTGATTTGTCCAAGAATGATTCACATCTCATATCACCAACAGGAGGGATGATCTCCATTTCTGAGTATTTGCAGATTGATTCATATCTCATATCACCAACAGGAGGGATGATCTCCATTTTAGGCATGACAAGATTTAATGTAAACCCAACACAAATAGTGTTCTTAAAATTTTCTTTTCCCAGCCAAAACTTCCCAAATCTTGTTTGTCAACATGCTTAGGTTCTGTTTGCAAATTTCTCATGATCTAACTCATTGTACTCGTTAGAGTAGTTTAGAGCATTATCCATTACTATTAGGCCATTGCCCAAGTCTCTATTATCCCCTTTTGATTTTTTACTTATTACTCATGTAAATAATTTAGCATTTTTCCATTTAATACTTGTATTATACAAGTAAGTACGTATTTTTCAATAATACTTTCATTTTTCCGTACTCTTAAAGACTCGGTAAAATACATATTTTTTTAAAAGCAAACATACAATACACATACATATATATTATTCATGTTTAATACACGTGGTTTTTTACAAAATTTTCAATAATACATAAAATTTTCACATATTATTGAATAAAAATATTAAATATTAAAATGTTATATAGTGGCCGAATTTTTCAGTTGTAACTTGCTAAAAAATTTCCGAATAAATCACGTATGTATTTTTCCCGTTCCGTATTTTACCATCTATGAAAGAATGTGAGAGGCAAAGATTATTTCTTGTTGTAACAAAAATGCAGGATGGTGAACTTTCGAAATCTCTTTGCCAACCAGAACAACAATTTCAAACAAAGATGTATGAGTATAGTAGTAAGAGGTGGTAGTATTCTTTATTTATTTATTAATAAATAGAACAAGAGATTAGGCAAGATTAGCTCTTCAGTATCGGTCATTGAATGCACAAACATCCACAACCCTCAAAGAAGATACCAAGGCATTCTGGGGACCCCCCGCCCATCCCCTTGATCATAATTTTATTAATATAAAAGAAATATATAAAGAAAAAAAGAACAGCATGGGACCAAATTGCAGAAAAGAAAGACAGTGACATAAAGTAGCATCAACATGTCATATCACCAAGAGGAGGGATGATCTCCATTTTTGAGTATTTGCAGAGATGCTAGACCTATAAAATAGGGAAGAAAGATATTTGCCTGAATGATTTTCATTGAGTCAGA